TCTTCTTGCGGGCGTCGGGCCGGGCGGCTGGGATCTTGTGGTCGCGCTTCTGCCGCGCCAGCACCTCGTCATAGGAGGTCTCCTTCATGAAGAGCCAGAAGAAGAGGAACATGAGCACGATGACGAGGGAGGGCGCGAGGACGAGCAGGTACTGGGAGTCATACAGCTCCATCGCCGCGCTGCAGGGGGAGAGAGAGAGAGGAAAGGGGAGGGAATGAGAGTGTCGTCAGGGAGGCAGGAGAGCATGGGGAGAAATGGCCTGAGAGAACTTGGATACCAAACGGCCAAAACCCTGACACCACAGCAGGTCGACATACCAAACCCCAGGCTTGAGTACAGACCCCGCCGCTTCACTGCACATGCTCTATTGCCAGCGCCGTGCTAGTCTCTGGAACTAGGAGAATGCCTTTGGTCTCTCTCTCTCTCGGGTGTGAGCACATATGTCAAGTTGATGTGCCCGAACGAGCGCGTCTGCTCACACGATGTCTCCAGAGATTAACAGCACCTAAGTGCACAAACCTAATGGCTGCAGCCTGCGTGTGACTTGCATGCCTGGTCTTCTTCGCTGCAGGGAAGGAGTTCAGCAACGCCGAGCCCCCACAAAATGTGTCGGCTGGCCCCCACCTGCGAGGTAGGAGACACGAGCCGCACCCTTCAGGCATGCGATTAGAGCGAGGAGGCCGACAGCACAACTACAGGCTGACAGGACCGGTCTGTGCGAAGGGGATCATTAGAGGAACACACACCTCCCTTTCCACCCTCAGATTCTTCTCCGTTCTAAACCAAAGCAAGCACGGCACTCGAACTCCGGAGGGAATTCACAAACGGCACGTTTTCTTGCTTCTGGCAGGCTTTGCCCAAAAGGGTTCTGCACTGATAAAATACAGTAAAACCTGAAACAAAACCTTCAATTCTAAGAATGCATAGTTCTAAATAGATGTAGACTGAAACCCAGGATATTCCCTTCAAAAAGACACGCTTTTTTCCCCCAGAGAAAAGGGTGCAGTTGCCCTTCAGATTTATGGGGTACCGTTAATTACCAAGGACGAAAAAAAATTATCACAAGCAAATTTCAGAGCAGCACGCAAGAAAAACAGCAAGACCCTGTCCCCCTTCAGGCACTGAAGCTTCAGCTTTTTACCACAACTATCCTCGAAACCTAGAAACCTCAAGTCTGTCAGGGATGTCTTTAAATACCACGAAGGGGCGAGATATCCAAACTGCGCGGTTCTGTCTCTCAGCCAGAGAACGCCTCTCTCTGGAATCCTACCACATGGAGAAAGAAAAATTCCCAGAACATTGGCTACTGTGGCCTTCATGCACAAATTCCCTTTCAGGCGCTGGGCACCACTCTGACCCTTGCTAAACCGAGGAGTTTCCAGTGCTAGGAAAGGTGATGAACATGAGCCTTCACTACTGACCTACATACACACTAGCAGGCAGTGGGTTTTTTGTGGTCCTCAGAAATGGAGCACGATCAGGGCACCAGCAGTCTTTTTGCTTCCAGCAGGTTTAGGCCTATAAATAGTACTGTATACCTTTGAAGAGTCAGCTGATTGCCCGACAATGGCCGGCCCTCCTCGGGCAGGAGAACGTGGATGGTAGAGGCAGTGTGCAAAGAGCCCTGCGGACTCGAGGCGCGCGCACACACGTTATAGGGATCCTGCGTGCCCTCTCCCCCCCCCCCATCTCTCCCCGCGCTTCAGCGCCCTGATCCAATTAGACTATCTGCTGAACACAGTAATCTCAGCTTGCCAACTGCCCTGCAGCTAAATACCTTCCATTCCGAACAGGACACGCTGCTGCAAAACACTCTGCTATCCTGGCTTATCCACAGCGGATGCAATCCGTGGCATTTTCCAGATCACGGGAGTCCACACCCTGGGGGCAGGCATTACTGCTCGCATTCCAGTGGTAGACCTCTGAAGACATGCACTGTGCATCAGGGGTACTTATACCATCGCGGGGCTTCCAGGACACTCTCCATGTGCAGAATTATAGACGGAGTCGGAGCGCAGCAAGAAACACAGATCATCTGAACTCGAGGAGTCCAACAAACACAGTCACAAATACAGAAGGACAAAATACTTCACTAACAGGTCAACCCCCTGAAGCTGAAATAGATTGGCGGGCGATTGCTAGCACGACTTTCATCCATCAGCAATCGAGTTAGGCCACCTCTGGGGACAAAAGTGGGAGGAGCCTGTCTCCACAGCAGGGGTCACAGGGGTCACCCCCATCCACAACTCCACCACCCCACCCGCTTCCTCAGCCCCCGCCTGCTGCATTAAACCAAGCTACACCCCGGCACAAACTGAGCCTCTGTGCACCAAGTCTTCTAGAGCCACCGGCACAGTGCTACCGAAATCTCAGGCTTCGCTCCCTTCAGAAGCTGCGGCGAGGTCCCTTTCTGTAACAGGCCCACCATTTCGTTTTCCCCACAGGGGGGTTTAAACTGGGTCAAGCAAAGGTAGGAAGTGGAGAATCAGTCTGCAGAGTGCTGGCCGAGTTGAGACCAGCAGCAGCAGCGGGGCTGAACACAGTCACAGAAGCAGCGGCTGCACCAGTAGGAACTGGAGGAAGGGTGCTGCAGAGCTGTCCTGCCCAGCTCAGACCTGTCTTGGGTGCCTGGGATTAAACAGATTACAGAAAGCCTGCGTTGTAGACGACCACAGCACCGCGCAGTGCAGGATACATCCTGAAGTCTCACTTCATCTCGCACGTATAAAATCCAGTTCCATCAGGAACAACGTGCTGGGGCTGGTGGCAGTGCAGCTCATCGCCTACACTTCATCAGGCTTTTCTTTAAAAAAAAAAAGGAAACAAGATACAACTAAAAATAAATGCTTCCTTTCAACAATCCAAGAAAAGTTTACGTGTGGGGGTCCCCATCAGTAACTGGTATTTACTGCTGGGATCCATGGAGTTCAGAAGCATCACAGACTATTGGCCGAGGAATGAAACATTTCAGGCCCCACTTTGAAATCAGTCTCGTCTGTTTTAAATAACCGTAATCCTCAATTAACTCTCAGTGTAATGGGGCTCCAATATCCTGCTCAACCCGCCAGGAGGCGGGTCTCCAACGGTGCCTTCGTATCCTGCGCCGTCATTAAACGTCTTTTCAGAAAGGTCTTATTGTCTACGTGTAGTCAAAGGCTCTGAGCAATGTTAAAAGTTACAAGTGTGTGAAAGGCGATTAAAACCCCTCCCACACAAGTGATAATAATGTTAATGATAATGTTTCTTTATTAGCCCTATACAATTTCTTGCATTAGGAATTTGTCTTTTCGCATACCCCAGCTTTTCTCCATGAGACACAGACACACAGACAGGGAGAGAAGCTGGGAACGATGGAGTAACGTGTTCAGCTGTGAAAAGGAGAGGGTGATGGAAAGGGATTGGTGTGCCAGAAAATCGACAACTCAACACCCCTGTCCTCCAAACACAAGGCAGAGTGTGGGGTTTCCCTTTCACGCCCCGCGGCCCTGTCCTGGCGGAGAACAGGAACGCAGAGGGACGCTGGGACTGCAGGCTCCCTGGAGGACAGGCCCGGGACAGGTCCAGCCTGAGCAGGACCTCTCCCCGCCTCGCCACACACCGTGCCCGCCTCATTGACCAGCGCCTTCATCTGGACCGCTCACAAGCAAGAGAGGACCACGTGGACCCGAACGTTGTTCTAGACAAGTACTCAAAACCCTCAAAGACAGTGACAAAACCAGCCCAGAGGACTCCTTCCAACAAAGCATGAAGCACAAAAGAGAGGACACAAGTGGCAACTGTGTGGAATGGCATTTAAAACTGACCACTGGAGGCAGGTCTTTGCACTAAGGGTGGTGGGTGTATGGAACAAGCTACCAAGCCACAGTGCTGAACCCACATGCCCTGGCTTCTTTCAAGAAACGCTGAAGATGATTCTTGGATCAATTAACTTCCAACCAAATACGCCAGATGGGCAGAATGGCTTCCTCTCATTTGAAACCATATGTTCTCATGGAAGATAAGTGTATTAAATAAGTGAGAGGGGGATAAAACTAAAGTACTGTAGTGATAATACTGCTTTAAAAGAGGATAGCCCTGCTGCGCCACTGCTGATTAACAGCAGCCAAATTTCAGAAACCTGACAGCTCCCTCCTTCAAGGAGTTCCACGTTCTCCAGATTGAACTGATTGCTGCAGATATTGAACACAGTGACACCACTATTCAGGAAGCAAAAACAAAGATCGGTTCAGAGCATGCCCCTGGCAGGGCTTTCCCAGAGCCAAGGGCAGCATCATCAGGCAGGCAGACAAGGGCATCACGGCTACTGCCACTGGAACTGCTGATAGCCAGGGCCTGATCTGCAAAAACACCCACATCGTGCAAACTACGCGCAGGAGGAGCTACGAACGAAAGCAGGCCATCTGCCCCACGTTCTGATCGCTAGCAGATAATGAATCCAAGGATCTCATCCAGGCACTTCCCGAAGGAAGCCAGGGTCTCGGCTTCAGCAACACGGCTGGCATGGAGAGTTCCACACTACCACCACCCTTGGCGTAAAGAAATGGCTTCTTTTCATGGTTTTAGCATGTCCTTCCAAATAGATTCTACTTGTGTTCTCTGGGTGGTGTTTCACTCCCACCCATGCAAGGTGAATAAAAGAAAAATTAAAATACTAGGAAAGCTGGAAAGGGAACTGCACTTGTAAATTTCTAATATCCTGGCCACCAGAGTCGGAGAACAACAGGGAGAGCTCTGTGCAGTGCACTACAGCTCAGGTGTGACTTGTCTGAGTCGCAGGGCACATTCCAGACCACTTAAGATACCAGAGGGTTTTGCGTTGGTTGCCTGCAGCTGATCACAGCAGAATCCTCAACAACGGTTCTGGTGCATCCCCACAGATTTCTCTTCAACCAAATGCATGAAAGGTCACTTCTCCTATCCCCTTCATTTCCAAAACATAACCAAATTTTCCACCACATTTGCAGGCTTCATCCTGGTTTACCTGCTGAACATGATGACAATGCTTTGCTCCGACTCACTAAAGACCTTTGAGGATTTTTTCTGCACACCCAAATGAAAATTCCCACACAACGCACCCTGTTCAAGACTGGGGAGATGCATTAATAATAATAATAATAATAATAATAGCTTACACTTATATAGCACTTTTCTGGACACTCCACTCAAAGCGCTTTACAGGTAATGGGGACTCCCCTCCACCACCACCAATGTGCAGCATCCACTATCCATTAACCTGAGCAGAAATGTCTGGCAGTTCACTCAGAAATTAATCCACATTTACAGCCAGAAACTTTACCTACAGGGAGGAGATAAAGGGATCTTTGATCTTTAATGCAAAGACAGCGAAGCAGAGGCAAAACAACACTAATAAAACATTATCGTATCCCACAAGGCTGAATTCGCTACTCACATATCCCATCATGCCTCTATCAGCTAAGAGCGATAAGATATCCATAGTGTCAGAGCACAACATCAGACCACACCTGAAAACAGGCCTTCAGAGAAAGACAACAGCAGCACTGGCTCCCTTATAACAGCTGAAAGCTATGAGTAAGCTCTCTAGGAGTTCGCAATGCTGTGCAGCTGCTTCTCCTGCCTTCATGCCATTGAGGTGGGGCGAGTGCTGGGGCTCAGCTCATTCCGAGTCATGCGTTTCTCAAGAAAGCCATGTTTTTCCCGTCTCACCCAAGCACAGGAAACTGAGGCGAGCTTGTGTAACCCCCAGTTTCCTGAACCGCAAGAAGGAGAAAAAAAAACAGAAGGGGAAATGTCATGTCTCCCACACAAAAAAAGAATGCGTCGCAGTGCTGTCACGAGGCCTGCACAATCTGGGGAGAAACGAAGCAGCTTTCCCGCCGAGCAGTCCTGACCCGGGTGGGTGTTCTGTGCTCGGACTGCGGGCCCTCGCCGAAACCAGCACACTCCACCACACCAAGAGCAGGCGAGAAGAGGGCGAGAGCCCACAGCCACGACACTGACACCCACTCTGGAAAAACAAACACCCAGCGAAGGTTCCCAAAACCTGGTCGAACAGAACAGCGAATAACGCAGGAGATTAAAAAGAGCAGTCGGTCGTACAAGTCGATTCATGTCTCCAGTAACATGCCGACAGAGCCCCTTTGCTCGTTAAGCTGCACGCTGCAGACATAGACGCCTTTCCTACCAGGCTGTCCGAAGCCGTCACGAATGACTTAAAACAGATGTTCTTCTCTCTGCGCCCCGAGTAACCATTTCACACTACTCGTCACACAGAGAGCGTGCGGAGAAGGGACACGCTTCAATGTCACCCAGCGTGCGCTTTCAATGCCATCGTACCACAGATAAACTTATCAGAATCAGGTGTGGGCCTGTTTGGTTTTGGGGCTCGGAAGGGGCAGGCATGCGTCCCGGCCCTGTTGTGCATTAACTGCATGCAGAGACCCGCCCTGACACGTACCTAAATAACTCCACCACCAGCACGCCCACACTACCTGGTCTTCTGCAACAGGTTGGCATAGACGTCAGGCAGGTCAGGAGATCTGCCCGCGGCCAAAAATGCACCCCAGAGCAAAGATGGCACCTCTTCTCGTGTGCATTTCATAGGGCTCTACAAACACACAGGGCAAGGCGGAAGGTTTTAAACTCCGGACGAGGCATTTCCACCAGTGGAATTCTAACTTGGGAGACTTACAGGCCCACCTCACTTGACCAACGGGGTGAAAACCGGTACACGGCGTGGGATCAGACACGCCGGCAACCTGAGGAGACCCCACCAGTAATTTCCCTCTCATTTCAACGGGCAAACGAGATTAGAGGCGGATTAGACGGGGCTGAATAGACCGGACAGGTGTGCCCCCTCACCCGCAACATGAAAAGAAACCTGAAGCCTTGATTTAAAAAAAAATAAGAACTCAATACGTTGTCAGGACCTATACTTTTAAACAGTCGCAAAAACAATTCAGGAAGGTCATGCTTCATGGACACACCAATGAAGCCGGCTGCTCCTTGCCCACGCAGATCCACTAAATCTTCGCTGGTTTTGAAAGCAAGAAGTTCTCAAAGTCACTTTTTCGTGTCGACTTTAGCCTTCTGCTATCCCCCCCCAAGGTTCAGACGAAACGAAAAACCGGCACCGACTGTTGAAAGTCCCCCAGCCGCACACAATAAGCTCCTTTTCAAACACGGTTTATCCGCCTCCCAGCGAGGCACCGCGGCTGAGAGAGCCACCCCCGCCCGCTCTGCTGTGTTCCCGGCAAGGCCGTGATGAAAGGGCCTGCTGACGGTTTATTAATAGTATCCTAATCACAGACTGAACGCCAGCGGTGTCAAGTCATTTTCTGGTTCCGGGGGGGGGGGGACGAGAAAAAACTGCAGACAAAATAGATTTAAAAATCCCTGTTCCTAGTCTCTCTCTCTCGCCCCCCCTCATCTCCAGCAACTATACCGAGCAAACGGGCCGGACCCGACCCAATACGGCCCGCCCCCCCAAGTCAAGTGTTACCATGGGTGCCCACTTAAATACTGAAAGGTTTCCCAAAACACAGAACCGAGCCGGCACTCTGACGTGTCGTCTTCGGCTTGCGGTGACCTTACGAGACACCCTCGCCCTCAGCTGCTCACAGAGGGCGTCCAGCCTGTCGGGAAATGATCGCTTTAGATGTACCACAGCGGCCGAAGGGGTGGCTGCCTTTCAGGAGGAGGACCAGGCCCGGGTCCTGTACTGTCTCAGTGTAGCTTTTTTTCCTCCCTGCAGACACGCAGACGAGCCCACCGCTCGCTCGGATCGAAATGCTACCAAATCCTGTTTCCAACACTGCAATTCGCCTGGTTATCCTACTGCTACCCCCCCACACCCCAGCGTTTGGACACAGGGTTGTAGCTCGCCGACAGTACAGTCCTTCATAGTAAGGATAAGTGTTTAGTCCCAGAGTTTTTTTTTCTTAGAAAAGTAACATCTTGCGAATCCAGCCGTTTGCTCAAGATCCTCCTCCGAGTTCGAGCGCAAAGCGCCGGCCAGCCTGAACCGAGGGACTTTCTGCCAGAGAAATACAGCGGGGTCTAAAAATATAAAGAGACGAGCCCACCGCCGGAACTGGCGTTCATTTCCAAAATGACCTCTGGAGCCGAGCTGACAGCCCTCCTACCATGCTGCTTCTCCGTGTGCACTTCAGGCAGGCGGCCCACGGAGGACTCAAGACCGGGGGGGTCTCCGTCCGGCTCCGCTCCCTAACGAGCTGAGACAACTGCCGGCTGGCTGAACTGGATTTAACAGCTTCTTTCAGCTCGTCGGGTGCGGCTCCCCCCTTAACCCCCAGTCCTACAAGACCACGACATGACACCCCTGCTCCACGGAAACTTCCTTCGCCATCATCATCATCATCATCATCACTCCCGACACGAACAGCTCGCTGGCCTCTCTGAACCACGAGGGCTTCAGTTTGCAAGACCGACACAGACCAGGAACTGTTTCTTCGGCGGTATAAATGTGCCACCAGATCCCTCCCCGCCTCTACAGAATCACCCATTTTAAAGTAAAAAAAGAGAAACACGCAGCAGGAGAAACGAGGCGAAGGGCACCGTGGCGATACAGGCTGCTCCACCTGACAAAGAAACACTGCATCATCTCCACTAGGACCAGAGAGTATCGAGGTTATCTACCACGGATTATATAAAACGCGTGTGAGAGGAGAGTTGGAGGCGGACGGGCGAAGAGTACCTCACTTGAACATTTACGCTTCGAGTCGATTTTTCTTTTTTGGGAAAACCCACGTACTTATCGTCACTAAACGCTTCCCTCGACCTCGCCTGCTGTTGGTGGCAATTACACGGGTACTGCTGCTCAGCTCAGGCGAGCAATCGGTGGTCATTTGGGGATACCCCGTCACAAAACTGGGCCTCACCAAACCGGGTCGCCGGTTTTACGGATCCACACGGCGCCGTTAAGCGAGGTGGAGAAGGCAAACTCCCGAGGTTTGATCTACAGTAACCTTCTTCGGCAAAAAGGGCGTAATTTAAATGCCACCTCCCCCACAATGATGAAGACGGCGAGACCTGAACGAAACACCGGCTTTTTTCATCTTTCCACGATGAAACAGACCGAGCCCGGTTCAATCGCTACCAGCCCACCCTCCTGAACCGCACTCCCGGCACCGAGCCCTCTGCTGGTCCAGCCACACCGCCCAGAGGCCTTTCTTCTGATGGCCGAGCCCCCGCCTCTCCTGAAATCTCAGACCCAGTCTCGCTTCCCAGTCTTCCCGGCACTGCCTGCCGGACAGGCCCGGGGCTTCAACACTGACTCAGCGACGCAAACCTCTTCACCCTCCCCAGAGGAGAGAAGGGGGTAAAAAAAACAACCGCGCACACACACGCTGAGAGGGAGACGACCGGCATAAATTTACCTGAGAATGTGATAGTGGTGGAGGCTGAAATGGAGCGGTGTTTCCCTATTGATAGTGTATGGTAAGGAGACCCCCTACAGCCACTGCTGCTCGGCTCCTCAGCCTGTTTCGGTTTCGCGGGGGCGGGTCGGCGCTGCACAACTCAGGCGCAGGTCAGTCCGGGGAGGAGGCTGCTGCGAGGGGCCGGACTTCTGAAAGACAGGGTGGAGCCCGCAGGAACACAGCCGTCTGCGAGCACGGATTCGTGCTCGATCTCTGTGCTGTGCGCTTCGTAACTGGGGAAAATAGCCCTGGCATGATCGTTAAGATATACTTGGCCCGTTTTCAAAAAATTATGAATGAGATTAAATAAATTAAACCCTCTTAGTCATGTGTATTGGCATGACTTGCTGTCTTAATCTAATCTGATTTGAGAAGCTGAGCAAATTTGGGCCTGGTCAGTTCTGGGTTTGGAGACGTGTAAGTGTGGTTTGCTGGCACTGTAAGTGGGGTTGGTAGAGCAGTAGGTGTCACTCTCCCCTATGAGCCAGTATATTCTGTGTAGGTGATGTCACGCTTCTGATGAGACTTTGAACCAAGGTACACAGCATAATGCAATCTTTTCAACAAAGAATGCTTCATAAAAACGCAGTTTCAAGAACACAACCTACTAATACAAACCAGAAAGATAAGCAAACTCCGGAAAATCAAAAGGCCAAACAGGAATTCACATCTAAGGAAATCTATACTTGTGTGAAAGATTCGTCCAGCCCCCTTTTTCCGAGTACATAAAAAAATTCTCGGAAATCAGATTACAACATGAGAGCATTTTGTCTTATCCCTGTACATAGTGAAAGTGTTCTTAATCAGGAAATCTGAGAATCAGAGCACACACATCACCTTTATTTTTAACGTAGCATGTTTCTTTTAGGTAATATTAGGTAATATCTCAATATATATATACACACACACACCAGTGGTTACCCAGTTCTCTTCACACCTGCTGGTTTTTGTTCCAGATGAGCTCTGTTTCATAATTGAACTAATATGATTAATCTGAACTAATTATTTTCAGCTGTTTTACATGCTGACTGATTCATTTGAACAACTATATTTTATATGTAAAGCCTCTAACTTTCAAACAGATAAGAACTATTTATGAAGTTTCTAAATTTGCCACTTATTAGCTGAATAAACTGTTGTATTGACTGTGAACTCAACTTGAATGCAGATTGTCAGGTATCTGGGGTGATCACAAGGATCAGACAAGGCAAGCCCTGCTTTACAGGATCAGAAGAATGCTGAGTGATTATAGATAAAGGTACTTGCTTCTGAATCTGGTAGGTACTGAGTCTGGGAAGTCCTTCCATTTTACCTAAACCCGTGTGGATCTTTCAGAAACACTTTTAATTTGAACTACAGAAAAAGGGTGCCCTGGATCTTTCTTTTAAAGAGAACCCATATTCAGTTTATTTTATATATTTATTTTACAAACTTCCAATTTACTTTCCTTGAAAATGCAAGAGTTAAGATCTTACGTTCACAGAAAAAAATGCACAAATTCCCGGCGTTTTGCCTCATTAACCTCAATGAGCTTTTGATGACATATTGTTGATGATATTCACAAAGGAGGCAGTATCCTAATGCTTTGTACATAAAAATACAATAGAAACTCAATCAAGCCCGTACTCGATCCAAATTAGTGTTTCTGCCAGGAGACCATAGCAATCAGCCAACTAATTCATAGGAAGGTTCCTTGCAAGTAATAGATAAAATGTTAAAAATCCCGTTTGAGCAACAGCTTGGTCTGAACACCATGCCTGTTGATTTAATGCCCAATGTCAATGACAGAGCACTCTTATTGATGTGCCCAGACAGATGTCTCGTGTACTTTCCCAACACCTGTGTGGTCACTCCTCTGTGTTCATAGACACAGACTCTTGGGCAGCCTGGATCTCTGACTGATAGTGTTTCTTCAGACCCTTGAGGTAGATGCGGAGGCTGTCAGGGTCCAGGCAGGAGTTCCTCGCAGTCTGCAGGAGGCGTGTTGCCAGGTGATACACTGCACGCTGTTTTTGCGTCTCCGGGTCACTGTGTTTCTTTGCCTGTTTTAAATAGGTACACGGCCAGCAGGAGCGCACCAGCACAGAGATAGGAGGGAGAAAGAGAGAGTAGGCTGATAGAAAGGAAAAAGGTCATGACAAGAAAGCATTTAAAAAAAATAATTTGGAAAAACCCACAGACAAGAATTTAGAAAGGGGCAAAGCTCATGTTTCTTCAATTGTAACATAAATATATTGTGGAACAAATAGATCAATACTGAGATGTTCACTTTTATTTACTGCAGTGGTCAGTAAGAGGTTTAAGAAGGATGACATATTAGTGTCCCTATCAAAAAACCTGCTAAATGGACTAATTAGTCTATTGTGATCTTTCTACAAAGAGAACTTTTAATGCACATCTTTAAACATAAATTGGCTGATAAAACTAAAAATACATGTCCTGACATATGCATGATTTGTCCAATTGTTTTTGCTGACTGCGTAACAAAGACGGTTTTGTATTGAGAGTAGCAAGACAAAAATAAATCCGGGCAGATATGCCTAGTCAAGTTGCTAATTGCTCCAACAGTAGTCCTGGGGATATGACTGTAATTGACATCGTTAATCTACATTATGAATTCATTTGCCCAGAAGAATAAAGAAAAATTAAATGAAAACCTGTACCTCAGCAAAGCACACAAATTCAGAGTGAATTTTGGTAATTCCTACCCATAGCTGTTTGCTGATATGAGAGGTAATCTCTTTTGCCTCATGTATTATGGAAGGTGATAAGGCTGTGATCTCTGCAGCCTTCAGTCCTGAAATTCACACACTGTATTAAATGTTTTTGTTTTAGAACCAAACAAATTATAACTTTTTTAGTTCATACTATGAACAACCTGCACTTCTACAATAAATCACCATTAAATAATAAGCTCTAGGTGTTCAAATTGTTGTTTAAATTGTTGTAATTCCTTTATTTAGAGACAAGTGGTTCCAAACCTACTAAACAGACTTAGTTTTATTTTCTATATGGGCACTTTATAGATAAACAGTACTGGCGCATTTTAGAATAAGCCTTGCTTAATGCCGTACAAGGATATTGTTAGGAATGCAGGTGTGTGCTACAAGCCTAAAGAACATTCTTACCATAGTTTCTCTCCTCAGAGCAGCCCCGGTTGAGCAGGTAGGTGTAGGTGACTTTCTCAGTGTTGTCGGAGCTGCGGGTGTGCTGAACCTCCATGTGGAGATTCTCCACGTTGGGATAGAGTGTCTCCAGTTGGCAGAGCTCCAGGAAATGCGTAGCAAATATGGTGAATGCCTGCAGACATTCCAGAGCTTTTACTCTCTGGTTACATTAGAGGTTCATCAAACTTCAACACTGTCATCAAAAAATAACATACAGCATTCAGCCAGAAATCTCAGCGAGCTTTTTATCATTATGGCATTAGCACATCTGCAGATAAAAGTATTTCCAACAAAAGTAGTTAAGAAGCTAAAACAAACCCTACTCAGTTTTTAAAATACTCCATATGATACCTTTAGAATTTAGACTTTTTATTGATTTTTGGTCTAGGGATGATAACTGAAAAACACAATTGTTCAGAACGTGTTCAGTGTTTGTAAAGTCTTCTGTGATACAAAGGCAGAAAATAAAAGATGGTCTCCTTAGTGAAGATGGAGAGATATACAAATGCTAAGAATTATTGCAAAGATAAGATATATATTGGGTAGACTATTAGGTAGACAAAACCTACTCTTACTGCATTGCCATTTGTAGTAGAAATAAGGGTTTTACCCTAAATTTGAGTAGAAATTCACAGACTGCATGACAAATGCCAACACCTTCCTCGGCACTGGTACCTCTTCCCAGCTCATCTATAATGATGAGAGACTTGTGGCTCACATTATGTATAATGTAAGCTAGCTAGAAGAAAAGAAAAAAACATAACAAAAACCGATGAGGTATATTCAATACTTAAAGCGGACACAAAAAAATCAATAAAACGGACCGTCTGATAATATGGTCGGTAAGGCGATGAAAATATAATTCTATCAATCAAGAAAACATTGAAGGACAAAGTCTATACATTCTTGATTTTGTTATGCGTATGAAACCAATAATAATGAAGGGAGAGGACAAAGGAAGAAATGCCATGACACACTTCTTTCAGCAGGGCTCTAAAGATGGTGAATGTTTGTACTGAAAACTATTGTTGCCAGCCTCTGGCTCCGATGCATACCTCTCAGTAAAATAAAATGATGAATGACAACCCTCATCTTTATTGGTAGGCAAATAATTCTTGTTCAGGCAGTTACAACTACTCCTGAAAGCCAACCAAAACCTCATGTAAAAAGTACTGTATATAGCCTTTTGTTTACGGCAGCATTGGCTAACACTATTTCAAATTATTCAAATTAGGCACATATCAACAAGTTTTATTGATTCCATTAATGCACAAAGCACAGAACAATGAATGATTACTAGATTGAATTATATACTGACAGGTATTAAAAGCACAACAAATGAGTGTTGAAAACAAAAGCATTTTTTCGTGTTTTCAATGCATATTATATACATTTGCTTGTGAAGCTATAAACCTTGTTAGATGGCACATTTTATTATAACTGTAAATCAATCCTAGATTCAGAAAAAAAGTGTCATACACAGCTTTGTTCTAACATTTGTTCTGTTGTTTTCACATTAGATGTGAATTACTTTTATAACATATTGTGTAAAGCTATTAATGAAGATCAATATGTACTTTACCTCCTTCATTTCCAACATAAAGGTGGATGAACTTGTTTCAAAGTCATCATCCACCCCAATCCTGGTGAAAATCTGGTCTGCAATTCGGAAAGAGGCATACTCTGCAGGAATAAAGGAGCCTGGGAAAACAATATAGGTCTTTTTTGGAGCAACTCAATTTTTTACACTTCAGTGATTGTTTTAAATACAAGTCTCTTGGGATAAGGATACGAGTTTAAAGATGTATAATGTATAGAAGAGATGTCCAACACTGGTGCTGAGCAACTTCTTCTGGTTTGAGCTCCAGCTGAGTTCTAAATCACATGCAGGAACATTTTAAAGGTAATTTGAGCTCTTAAATGGTCAAATTGTTAATGGTAATTGTAATGGATATCAAACCCTGTACTACTTGCTGAGTTTCAGAGCTGACCTAAATTTTGGAATCAGGACTGAATGCAGAAACATGTTAATCAAAAGTCTAAACTAGAAAGCAGATGGATTAAAGTAATTGATGATTTAGAGGTCAGAACAAAAACCAGAAGACACAATGGCAAAATATCTGACACTGCTACTTACAGTATGAAATATTATTTGTAACTAATGGAACATTTGGGTACATAATTTGATTTGTTGATTAATTTTATAATCATTTTAGGAGTGTCAGACTGCCCACCTATTTGTGCCATGATCTGGCAGAGTGCCACCTGCTTGAGATAAGTGGACTTGCCACTCATGTTGGGGCCAGTGATGAGGATGAAGTTGCTGCCCTCGGAGATGTAGCTGCTGTTGGAGATGGGCTGCTGCCCTGAGATCCTTTCTAGGATGGGGTGTCGTCCCTGCTTGATTGCTAAAGTGTCTGTGAATTCAGGGCGCACTAAGACAAAGTAAAAACGTAACAGTAAGGTTCCGATTATCAAAGCACACAACCTGTACTAATTATTCTGCCGCTCTTCCATTGAGGGTGCTAAGAGATGCTTCATTTCCTCTTTAATTGCAACATGGTTATTAGTTAACAATTTCCTCAAAAACATGAAAAAAGCTCTGTAAGGTAGACATAAAGCTAATAAACTATTAGTCATTTGCTTATCACCATGAGAAGTACTCAGGAAATAATAATTTAGTTTCAGGAAAACATTTCAATGGCACCATTCAATCTAAACAAGGAAGCAGCAATTTGATTACAGCACATACAATGATAAAGTAACACAAAAGCCATAAATCCCTGCATCATAAATCATCATGTAAATAACAGGCTCTGTATTTCCTACTGCAGGTAACGGAACGCTAGAGTTTCCCCAGTCTTATTCCCAGTCCGCCTGAATATGGGGTGATTCCAAACAGTAGCAGACGTTTTATTAATCACAAGGAGTTGAGTATTTATGGCTGTGCCTGGCAAACATTTCCCACAGCTGCTTTAAACTATCAAAGCTACAACACTGTAAAATTAGCGTAAGCCTGCCATTTCTGCTTTCAAGGAAACAACTAAATGGGGAAAACTAGTTGCAGAAATAGGAAAAATGGCACATGCAGCTCCGGCCCTTGTGCAGTCTCAGAAAAATCAATTGGTGTGAAAATAATCTCCCTCACAGTCATCTTCTTAAAATGACACGATAACAGATTGTTAAAATGCATGCTATTGGGGTATCTTTTTTAATGTTATACAAACCTATGTAAATATAGTTTTGTGTTGGTCACTAATTTAACATTTAGGACCAGATATATTGAATAAATCTGTACTGAGAAGAATCTGCACATCTGTGAATATTACTGTCCTAGGATTCTCACTTAAGCTGTACCACATAAAGAACAGATTTTGTCAGATAGCCATGAATGTTTTATTAGTTTGACTAATTGTAATGTAGCTAAATGTAGGACTTCCCTTCAAATAAGACTGATAATCTGAGCTAGACCATTGGATGACCAGTCATGTCATCCTTTATTGTTATTAGCTGCAATAAGGACAGTACTTACCATAGTCAGAGATAGTGCAAGTATTTGCCAAGGACAGCAGCATGTCTAGCATGGAAACTGCATCAGACAGCTTGTAAAGGCAGTGTACATGCTCATGAACAGTGCTGAGCAGCTGACATACCACCCTGGGAACAGAAAGGAGGCATATAAGAGACAGAGCTGCAGCAGCTCCATGAAAATCCTGTCGCACAACAGGCCTCCTGTAAAGGTCAAGGACACAATGATAAGTGCTTCCTTGTGCACAGCAGTGGGGCTTTTCAATTAAAACATTTTGCAGAAATCTTAATTGTACATAAGCATCATTATTCCGACACTTACACATAGGACATGTGGAAAATCTCCCTCAGAGCTTCATCACATCTGTCGTTCATTTTTATCAGGTCTGCTGTTGTGAAGCTGTAGTTATTCTTAAATTTAGTGACCTGAATTCAGGTGCAATCCAAAAACAGTCATAAAAAGGTTAGTTACAGAAACAGTATACAGTTCATTGATCCACAAACATTAAAAAAATACGTAAGCACTCTGCATGAATTCAAATATTAGTCGATTACGTTTACAGGATATTTAACTGATGTTTCTCAACATAAACAGGCATTAATCTGTTGAAATTCTTTATGGAAAGTGCAAGCTTCCTAGGACATGTGAGCACCAGCTCTGTAGGTTTAAGCATTTTACAACACCAATCTTGGACAGATCCCCAGTAAACAAAGAAGGGTGTAAGGGAACATCCGAGTTTTGTGTGCTATAGCAGGCTCTAAAAAATTGGAGGAAGCTGATTTTTTGGCAAGGACCTAGAGTGGCAATAAAAACTGTAAGCTAGTGGCATGCACACCCCGGTGGATCTGAAAAAGACATCAACCATCAAAGCCAGGCACCCTCCACTATCACATTCAACAGCTCAGTCGCAATCAAACAGAACATCTGTAGCAATGAAGACCAGGATTCTAAAACAATCCTGTTATCTTCCACAAAAGTTTGGCAGTCTTCCCTTTTGTAATTTTCTCATTATCGATGTACAATACTTTTTAGAATTATGCTACTTTTTGAAGTAACGTATTAAATTGTGCTTGCTTTGTTTTGCCTGGTTGACTTACCGCTTTCAAAAAAGGAAAACATACCTTTATAAACTCAGAGGGAAGCTGTCCATTTGGCAGTACCACTCCATCCAGTTTCAGCTGAATAAAGAACCCCCTTGTTGTGCTGAAGCTAGTTCTCAAAGGCAAATCATATTTCTCCCCCAGCTGGGTGACCATTCCTATTACAATAACAGAAAACAATTACTTGAGGGCTGCTGTATAAAATACGTTTGTCGTTTTATTTTGAAATAGCACAGTGCAAGTATTTTGTAGTACTTATCTTTCATATGTTTTGATGCTCTTTAATAAAAACCATATTCAAGATCATAATCTTAAAATCATATTTAATTGCTTAGCAGACTCACAAGAATGTTTTCTAGGAAAGCCAACTGATACTAAATATAAGGAAACTACTGGTGAAATTATTTGCACATGGACGTTACACAAAAGCAGTCATTAGGGACACACAAAATTCATGTTTCCTGTGTCATAAAATCTGTGGGGAAATCTGTGATGCTGTTTTAAGCAAAACAGAATAAACTGATACTATGTCTAAAGACAGAAATGACACAACCTCCAGATCCCTGCGGTTTAAAAATGATTAGTACAAAATTTCTTTATTTCTTCAACATATTCTATATTATATAGATCTTTCCATACTCTATAAGGAAAGATGACTACCTGCAATGTCATCCACAATTTCAGTGTAAGCACGTCGAGCGATATCCAAGAACTCATTGATGTTGGGACGCACTGCGTAGCACTTCTGTGTTCGCATGTTGAGATTTCCTTTCATGTAAGTGGTATCATCATTTATCACAGTTTTTATCTGTTCTAGGATAATATCAAATCTGAGTAAAAGAAAAAAGACAAGGCTCTGGACTGAATCACACAGCTTGTTGAATTTTTCACAGCTATTTTCTCCTCATGATCATGGTTTATCCTGACTGCAAGTGAATACAGGGAGAATAATCCTATTAAATAATATAACTTTCTTATCTTTATCAGAGCAGCATTTGTAGATATTCATATTTTAAGAAAAATAATGTACATTAATACTACAATCTATAACAAGAACTGCAGGCAGTTCTAACATAGATTTAACATTGTCCTAGAGCTCCTGCTGCTCTCTGTAAGAACACATTAATGGCTCATTTACACCAATCCCAGTTTGAGATGAATTACCTGCTGTCGTCCAGAGAGTTACAGTACGCTTTCAGCAGGACAGTTTGACAGTTCTGTAGCACTGCCTAACAACCAAAGCACAGCAGTGTTAGCTTTTACTGCAAAGGCCAGAGGGACTCTCCTTATCTTCGCATAGCTGTCCTGAACATTCAGTAGTGAATTGTTACAGTTGATACTGTGTCTTTTACTTTCTGTAATATGTTATTTTAAATTCTCTAAAAAATACTCAGTTCATGTGAGTGAATATTTTCATATGAACTCATATTTTGTAAAAGCCTTTAGGTGAAATTCTACATTTTATTTCAATGAACCATATTTGCACACCACATAGAAAAAGATAATAAAATTCATATATTTGTTTTTAAAGTGAAAGTATTATCTCTACAAATCCCCTTTTACCCTTGCCAATTTAGTGCTCATTCTATTAATTTTAACTAACTTTCAAATGAGTGTCCACACACCTTCAGAGGTGACACCAGCTCAAGTGTGTGTTTCAGGTGAATAACGTGCATGATCTTCGCCTCGGACAGCTGAACCTGCAACACAGCCACAGCAGGTGTTCTCAGCTTGGTCACAGACTAGCATTTCCGTCCACTCTGTGCAAATGGAAAACTGCTAAAGGAAGGCCTCATTTTACTAGGAACTACACAGCAAATGTCTGAGCTTTCAACCCGTATGGATTAAATCTAAATACATACAATTTTAGAAGAAGCAGAAAATGTTTTACTATCTTTTAAACATGGAAACTCCCAGACAATTTATTGTTATTATTCTACAGTCTGCATCTCATTGCCTTGTGAATTAATTTAATCATTTATCATTTATTTGAGAAATCTACAAACAAAAATTAAGGTTGTAATATTGCAACTTGTACCGTTTCCTGCTTAGGGATCTGCACTAGAACAGAGAGCAGCTGGTCTATATCTAGAAAGCGTCCAATTGCTGTAAAACAGAGAAACAGTATAGACAAAAATAGGAAGTAAAAGCAATACTGAAAAAACATAAATATGGAAAATAACCAACCAGATTATGCTGCAAAATCACAGACAAAATTAAATGATTTATAATAAATTAAAACTTTGTGCATGAACAAGCAGTCTGGTAAAACAAAATAATAGAAGCGGTTGGGGAACACAATCATTAAGTGAAAGCTGTATTTTCTGTTTCCAGCTATAATAAAACACAGAAAAAGATATGGTAAAAGAAGCAGTTCATTTCAGAATAACTGCAGAAAGAAAGTTATAGCAACCTTCCATCATCCACACCCCTTCATGATTTTGTCACTGACTTGTCTCAGTGACACACTGACCATAATTCTGAAACTTCACAACTAATTTCATGAGCTCTTCATACATTCCAACAGGAAAATCATGCTCACTGGGAAGGACTGTGTTTACAGTATATGCAGCATCGGAGCATTCCAGTTCTTTCCTGGGCAGTCATTAATCTCATTGAGTAACAGTGACACAGTGTATTTCACAAGAATGTGGTCCAACACAACACAACACAACACAACACAACACAGGCAGTATTGCAACTCTGGAATCAGTACAGAGAGCAGTGACCAGAAACTCCTTGGCTTAAAGTCCTGTTAGACTTGAAAATGGAAGACAAAGAGTGGACCTGATTCAGGTATTCAAAATCCTCAAAGATATTAATATGTCAATCAAACATATTTTTTTACTATTCAGTATCAGCACTACGACACAACCGAAAGAATACAAATAAGAAGGTAAGCAAATTTACAAATTACAGAAAGTCATTCCATCCATTTTTCTCATTTGGCAGCTAGTATCCAACTGATCTAATTATTTCATTCAGTCATTTCTCAAAAAAAGTTGGCTATAAAAACATAACTGGGCATGTTTTTCCAAACCCACACAACCCATTTTATACAACAGTCCTGTCCTCAGTTTGCAGTTTCACATAGTTTCTTCAGTTCTTGTTTAACTCCCAGTTCTAAAGTCCATTGGGTGAACTTTGATAATGCCTTGGAGGATTTCAAATAATAAGTATCTTTCTCTGTTCAAGATTTAAGCATGTTGCTCATGCTTTTTATTCTTGGTATAAACTTGAGTGAAATATTCATGAATACATCATCCATTTCATCAATTATTTATCACCAACCAAACAATCTTTTACTTTTATGTACTTAAGTACTTAACCTAACCACAACAATGATAAATCATTGGTTTAATACCTACAGCCTGTGTGGGTGTGGTACTCAGATCAAAAATACATAAATATTTGTTATCATTGATGTCATTAACAATAACATGAATTAACAGACTTCATTTACGAGAAAGTATAGTTTCGCATGATATATTAATACAACTTCACCAAACCGGTGAGCATGTTAAGAAACTAGTACACAGAATAAGGCACTATTATGAGTGATTTGTTCATATAGATAATAAAGAATATCTACATTGATTTTAAATTAAAGTGGGTTTTGTTAAAGAAGAAATAACCTTATATCTATAGGTTTTGCCGGATGTTAATATTGAATTGTTTTGCAAGCTGGGTTTAAGTTAACAGCCCTGATAAAGGTGTTGGTAAAGGTTTTTGATAAAGGTTTTGCTGATCAATTAAGACTGCTTGGCTCATGTCATTTTCCTATGTTTCTAAATATATTTCTTTATTTAATCAAGGTGCATACTACATCTGTCTTACCTACCATTCTTTAAACCAAAGAAGAGCTCTTCGTCCTGCAGCAACTCCTGCACAGCATCCAGGCGCATGTTGATAGTGTTGGCGTCCACCAGGGGCTCCAAGATGTTGGAGCGCAGTCTGCGAGCCCCCCCAGCAGTTTTGGTATAATTTAGGACCCCCAGCAGAGTGTGCTCACTCCTGCCAAGGCAAACAGACCACAGAAAGACCACAAACACAAAATACAGCATAGTACAGTGAAGAAGGAATTACTGCAATCTTGAAAATATTATTTTCACAACATAGGGAGAACCAAGATAAAATGAAGAATAAGGTATGAAGTATCAGGGAACAAAATGTATATTAAAATGTACATTTACTCATGTAAGCCTTTTTCTTATGGTTGAGTGAAGCAATTGGTCAGGAAATAACACATACTACATATTTAGCTTACTTTCAAGTTCCTGTGAACATTAAATTCAGAAATAATTTTAGTCAACGTCCTCACTAATTTCTAACAGTGAACAGATTAATCTTTGCAAAGACACGTTTGCAAAATTGAAAGTGAACAGAAAATACTGGTATTTAGCTTTTTAACACAAAGCTATAATACCATCTGTCAAATATTTCAGCATTTTTTAAATCCCTCATATTTACACCTGATGAAGGAACTATTCCAATATTCTTGGTATTTATACAATGAGGGGCAAAGAACTGCATTTTACACAATGCAATAAACAAAGCTAATTTTACAGCACAGCACTGTATGATTTACCTTTAACAAGAAAGTATACTTATGAACAACAAGCTGAATCTTTACCCTGAATTTATTGTCTAATCACTCTACTTTCATGCCCACATTTCTTTCTAATTTACACTTGATTTTAAACTAAATGGGAACCACTGAACAAACTAAACAAAAAGCTTAGTAGTATAATATTTTTAACACGGGCCACACTCTATTTATAAAAGAAAACATGCTGGTTTAGCCACACTCACAAGTTCCTCAAAAAGGATGAATTACAATTTGAGAACTTATGAGAAGACAATAATTTTTAGATTAATATAAACTGTGCAGATATGGCTAGATATTATTTTCTGCCTTTTATGTTTTATCCTATACATAAAACACAGAAAATCTGTATATATATATACTTTTTCTGGATAAGTATTCATCTTTTCATGCCTCAAGAAAACCTGGCCTTATTTCATCTTGAAATTTATTTTTACTAAACTGACAGGGTTTTTCTAATATGTCTTTTTATGCAATGATGCAAAATATTTCTATTTTATTTCTGTCATTAATCTGACATAAAAGCGTTATCACCTGGGATCCCTGTTGTTCACCACCAGCTCCAAATTACGGGCAGAAGAAGAGTCAATCATAGCTGTCTGCTCGCTCCCTTTGAAACTCACTTTCAGGGATTTTGGGGCATATACCGCGTTCTGCATAAATTCAAAGTATTTCAGCAAAGCTGCTGCTGCAGCCAGGCAGTAGTATCTGAAAGAACATAAAAAGTTTAAAGTTTAAAATATACAAGATATCGTTTGTCTCGGGTAACCTACAATGTCGCTAACACACTGCAGAAACATTTAGAATTGGGTATGGTTTCTTTTTAAAGGTTAAGCATATATTTGATATTTAAGTGGTTCAGTAAAAATAAATGGAGCAGTGAGAAAATCTGTAAGCAGTTCTAGCTTTGAGGTCCTTCTCAGGCATCCCACATTCATAAAATAACTTTATTTAATAACAGGATTTGGTTACAATGTAGTTAACTATGAGATATAAAACCACAATATAACACTCTGAACCATGTATCCAACCATTTATGAAAAAACATTTGAAAGAACTCGCCAATGCACAAAAAATCAAAATACTAAAGATCGAGTTGAGTCTCTTCTGGAAAACTAAAATATGTTCTCTGTGTTAGCGCCTACTTAGCTTGCACCTCCATAAGGACCGTGCTGAACTCGGGTGCAGAAAGCTGCTGGATGTATTCCAGTCCTTTCCCCTCATTGAAATACTTCCTCTGAACAGCAGTGATGGAAATATTCTGGAAAAGAAAATGTTTCTTACAGAAATGAAAAACCTGAAACGAGATTCTTAAATGGTGCAATCCAAGAACATAGTTAAGACAGATTGGCTGTGTGGTTTAGTTTGACAGAATCACAGGTTTAAAAAAAAATCTGATACGCTGGAGTCTGCACCCTTCTGCACACTCCCCATCAGGAATCTATGTGTATACCTGGAGGTTCTCTGTGACGAGTCTGAAGAGCTTTGTTCCTTTGCCCTTTTCACTTGCAGTGTCTGGCATTAATATTTCCAATGGGGTTAAGATGTGGAGTTTTGTTAAGATCTGCAGAAAGTAAAGGTAAGAGGCTTAAATCTAGATCTCAGCAAAATAAACAAAAGAGTTGCACTTATACATCATAGCTACTGGAATGCCACAATGGGAAAAGGAGATTGGAGAAGGAAGGTAGAAATAGGGTGTTGAATTTTTTTAGTTCTTTTGGTAAAAAAAATATATATTTTTCATTTCTATACTGCATTAATATATACCTTAGCATATGTGCCAGTGTCAGAGAATTGAGAAAGTACGAGCTCGGGGCATGTTAGGTCAATACTGGCCATGCCGATCTCACCCCGGGCAAGACCCCGCCCCTCCACCACTGCCACGATCACCGAGGCGACGGAAGCAGAGGAAACAGATGAACAAGTTGTCACTGAAAGGGAGAAGGCATCTGTTGTTAAAGAAGACACCCGGGAAGCACGCACAGAATATACAGTAGACACCATTTAAAGAAATGAATGGGCATTTCAACAGCACAGAGGAGAGCAGGTTCTTGTGACTAAAAAGGCGTGACAAAATTACTTTTGCTCCTCAGTTTTCCTGTATGCAGCATAGTTGAAAATGTATACATCCAAAGCAGACTACTTTTACATGAACTGATTTCAACAGATCAATGTAATTGCTGTGTAGAGTCATTAACTGATACAATAGTATTGTGTGAGGAAACAATCTTGCACGTTCACAGAAATACAACGGGTGTCCTTCAAGCACGTCTGAATGAAAACATGATGGTCCCGTCTCAGTAGAACAGTTACAAGCGGTAATACTGTACTGGTGCGCTCCATCTGGGGAGTGCGAGAGTGGTGACCAGACGAGCTTCTGCAAGCCCCAGACGACAGCGGGGTCCTGCGCAGCTGGGGTGTCCCTGCACCCCAAACGGAGGAGCTGCTGTTACCCGAGGCGAGGTTTGGCACGCGTGCCCACCCTAGGTTAGAGATTCTGCCTACAACAGAAGAATCTAAAAAAGGAAAGCCGTTTCAGTGGAAAAACACACACACTGTAAACACACACAACCCAAATTTGTTTGCGTGGTACGTGACTCAGTTACTGTACATTTCACTTTCATTTTTGCTCTATCAAACTTTCTGTCTGTGATAACCTTTTTATTGTTTCTCCATGCTGATTGGTTCAATGTTTCAGATTATGCTGCTCTTAAATAACATGGTAAACAAAAACAGCTAGCTGAAGGATTTTGGATGGTGGAAAGACAAGTAAGATCAATGTGAGATAATGACATTATAGTATATTATTGGATTTTAATAACTCAATTTTGGTGCACAAAAGACAGAGTTCTACAGTTAGCCTTCATTTGTACAATATGACTAGGTCTTTTACTTATTAAACAATAAGTTCATACACAGTATTGAACAACAATCTCAACAGAAATAAAATGAGTACACAATTGTCTTGAAAAAACGTAGAAGAGGTAGATAAACTATCTAATTATATGATTAAATCTCTCGGACAATATTGTTAGTACTCCTAAAACCGGTATAATAGTTATACCGTCTCTGGAAGGTGCTGTAGTGGAGGTGGGCGCTACCCTTGACCTCTCTGATGAAGATGAAGGGTCGCTGCGTGTGCTGCCCACTTGGCCGGGGCCTCCTCCCGACCGGGCGCACCGCTTCACGGGGGACAGCGAACTCCAGGACCCCGGCGGAGCTGGGCCTGGTGCATCGGACGACGGAGAAAGCGAGCTGCGACCTGGCTCTGAGCTGTCAACCGTATCGTTAGTGCTGCTGCGAAACATCTTAAGCGTTTATCAGATAGAGAGTGCTGAAATGTGCTGAATATCATACAAAAGTAAAATAACTCATTATCGGTAGGTAAATCTACAAGGAATGAGGAACTCGCAGCTTGTTACTGTCGTTACGGCTGAAGGCGCGAGTGGACTTCACGGACCGCTCGCGCGCAGTCTCCATTAGTGTGAATTTAGATCAATGTACTGTTTTACCACAATTAAGCATATTTACTTATATATTACTTAATGTTACAAACCATTCAACAGTATAACCCAAAAGATCTTATTTTATCTTTGCCATATAGTGGAGTAAAACCGTGTTTATTGACACATGACGCAGGTTAAGACCATATAAACCTCATAAAAAAGCACTAACGTGTTCAAGCGTACTCCTATCCTAAACCAAATACAACGCGGAAAAATTGGCCCCTTCCGGGGGCTTGGAGTAATTTTACATCACGAACTGGCCACGGAGACCCGTGTACATCAGTCACTTATTACACAAGATGGCGTCGCCCTCGGAAGACCTTGAGGGTGAAAGCTATTTTATGAGAGAGATTGAGAAGCGAGACGGGTCCTGCTTGCGTATAAAGCAGTGCAGTAAGGGAGATGTTGGGTGTGTGGTTTGGGACGCGGCCATCGTGCTTGCGAAATACCTCGAAACCGAGCAGTTTTATCAGCCCTCCGAGGGGATCAACACATGGGCAAACAAAACAGTCTTGGAGTTGGGAGCGGGGACCGGAGTCGTGGGTCTAATGGCTGCAACGCTGGGGTGAATAATATACACGTCTTTAACTGATTTTTTTTTAGCATAGGGTAAAGAGGGAGCTATGAAGCGAGGTGGTGGAAAATCTTGCACTTACAGTTTATCTTTTAAACATATCCACACGGAATATGCTGAACCTTGGTTAAAAACCTCCGCTGCGTTGAGCATTATTTTTAATGCATGGGAGTTTTCTTCCAGAACCTGTTTTTTTTTAAAGCGATGTTCGCACTCCGTCTTTTTATTTTAATTTGAATTAGATATGAACTACTTGTTATTCTCTCGTGCATGCTTACTTTTGCATAACTGTTAATGTATTAGTAGAAATAGCAAAAGAGAAGTCAGAACGTATCGTGGTAATTATATTCAGCAGGTAAATAACATATTTAATCATTCGTTTAAGGTTTAAATGTTATTTTTTAGACTTCTATTGTGACTAGACTAGATGCAGTTAAACTTATTATGTTTATAATATTATGTATAATATAGTATTACGCACAAACTTGTTTCACGGTTTAGCAGTACTAATGCTAAATATTTGAAATATGTCTGTATCCTGACACCAGATGTCAGGATGATCAAGAGCGTTCCTCAGTGCAGTTTTTTTTTTCTCCAACGTGCTGTAAATTTGTACCCAACCGCCTTTCAGACAGGTCTGTCTGTCCCCTTGCGTGGTGGGAACAGCAGAGATCCCGGTCTTGGGGTAAAACATGCCATCGTAATCACATGACATTTAAATACAAACTCCAGGAACTTTATTGGTAGAGCACATGAACTGTACAGAACAGTATTATTACAGAATAGTAGCCGTGTACAAAACACGCGTATGTATCATATGATACAGTATATTATAATACATCTTTACACTAAAATGTAGTTCAATACAATACAGTACAGAGGTTTTCCCCCTTTCTTGTTGATGCAGAACATTCCTCTCGCTGGGCTTCGCAGTGTTAAGTGTACTCAGTAGGCTGAAAGCCACTGATGTGTTCGTCTGCTGTTGCTTGGGCTGTGACAGGAGGACACCTACTCTGCTGATGGTTTTACTGTTTGCTTGTCCTTTTGTAGAGAGGTGCTGGGGAGAGAGAGAGGGGTACAAACAAGGAAAAAAAACTGTCAGTGCATGTGACCTAACACATGCATAAGTGCAATGACATGCTTATTTGCATGTGTGCGCCGATACGAAGACATTAAGGAATCACCAATACATAAACGCAGAGCAGCAGCAGCAGCAACAACACCATGTTAAATAACATACAACTTAAAAAAAACAAGTCAAACAAGAAGTGTGAGAAGAGAAGAAAACATCAGTGTGAGTCAGTGGTAGAGGTCGGGACAGAGTTGAGTCATCGCTTCACTTGCATGGGGTTACACACGCCTCACAACTCGCTTCAAAATCCTAGTGCAAAATAAAATGTGGCACAAACATGTCAAGTCCTTTTTTACGGAGCTGCGTGAGTCTTTGGTCATTTTCATCTGACTTTGCTCCCCCTGGAGCTGGGTCCTCTGCTCCCAGCTGAAAGCTCGTCTCGTTACCAGCCCTGGTGAATAATTATGTGTCTGTGTGTAACATAATTTACACAGACAATTATAATGGATGAGGCACGTTATTGTAGCGTGTTGTGTAGTGTTTAGAAAGGGGTAAAGATGGTAGTCTTGTTTAGTAAAGAGTGACCGTGTACAGTTGCTAATAACTGTTGCTCTTTTTCCTGCAGAGCCCGTGTCACTGTGACGGATCTGGAAGACCTACAGCCCCTGCTGGAATTAAACATCAGGGACCACCTGCCTCTCGTCCGCACTGGGTCTGTCAAAGCCAAGGTACTGAAATGGTTTGTACAGCATTTCCATTGATCGCTTGTTTCTAAAGAATGAAGTGCCATGCATTAAGTAAAAAGTAACAACAAGGCATTGCACCAACATAATTTTAAATGGGATGATATACGTTTTGGTTGGTGGGAGAGATTTATTTTGAGTTGCAGAGAGAGATAGCAGGGAGTTGGCTTGTTTTCTTTGTCAACAGACATTAAAAAGTAAGTTAATCAGCACAACAAAGTTAAGTCTGTATATTTTATTATGTGAAAGTGTTGCAAAATCTGTACGAGTATCGGCTGTTTTCAGGGCGTGAAAGGGTGCAGTTTTCCTTACAGTTGTTTTTCACTTTCGTGTGAAGGGGAGGAGATGTGACAGAGTTTTTGCCTCCACCTGACTTCCTGCTGATGGCTGACTGCATCTACTA